AACAATCGAAGTTCAATTATTGACATTACCAACAGGCCTTAAATGATTTTTCGTTACATGGCGTACCGAATTTTGCAGCTAATTGGTTTCATTACAATAATAGTAAATTATTATCATATCTATTTACAAAGATGAATACAGTTTTGTTCGTTATTAACTTAAAAAAGGTATCGTGATTGTATATCTCATAATTACCTATTTTTTCACCATATTCAATGATGACTTGTGAGATGAGGGATCCTTTAATCCCCATGCTTGATCCAGAACTACTGACTAAACATATTGACACGATCGTATTTAAGTGTCAGCTCCCAGGCGTTCGTGTTGTAACGAAACAATAATTTACAGATTTAAGGCGGAAATTTTTGCTGCCTAAGTTCTATCAAAGAACTCAGGCATGCACCATTCAAGGCAATGTCAACTTGGCTTGCGCAATTTAAAATTCATTGCTTGCGCGTCGAGTCAAGATTCCAATCGCATTGAATTTCATCAAAGGACTTGTATCATCTCCATTGACTATTCATGGCAAATCTTCAATCGCGAGTAAAACTTCGTTAATTTAAACTTCTTTAATGTAGATACACTAAAAAAATAGTTGCGGTTCTATGTAACATGGTGGCAATTTTTTAATATATCATTTTATATGCACAATGAATATAAATTAATTCACATTTAATCGCTTTAAACTTCATTTTCCGGGCTACATGCAGTGCTTATACCATCTGGCATCTGAAGTTGAATCCACGTTGCAATTAAGCGTTCAAACGTTGAATTTACACCGATTAAGCATTTAAACGTTGAATTTACATCCATCAAACGTCATTTCAACTTATAATGTTATTTGTAAAGTGGGATTGAGTGTTTATTTGGACCTACCGCGTCTTTATACTATCCTGTGACTGTGGTGTGGTAAGATGGGCCTTCCCGCGTGCCATCTCGACGTGACCAAATCCCGGGAGTTTTATATTCCAGAGATCACCACACTTCAGAGATCCAGTTATACTTCCGGGAGAGGAAAATTCCCTAGAAATATTCTCTAGAAAATTCCCAAGACATATATGTGCCCAATCATGGCCGACATAACATTCCACAAGTCATGAATATTTGTCCCATATGCTTAGTTTATTAATGAAGTTAATTTAGACAATTTCCTTGCCTTGAATTTTTAGCGTAAAAAATACAGAAATGAAAATGTTACGAAAAAACTTGCCTCGGCATGTCGGAAAATACTAGAATGTGCGTAAAAGAATTTTAACGTAAACTGCCACGGATATAGAACTAATAAAGTATAGCTAAACAAAGTTGATTGACAAAATATTATTGGTTGAGCATAGGAGAATCTTGCAATAATTAGTCATCGTTGACTACAAGATTATTTTCTCATGAGATTGATTGCATCTGAATTTATTTAAATTTAGAAGCTTAAAAACTTCTTAATCTTCACATACGATGTTACAACAAATGTATTTTAATGTATGAGATAATTATCACATTGAATTTACTGAAGAAATATAACAAAACGTCACACTCAACAAATCTTTTCAGTGTATTTAACACGTTCAAAGTTATAATGCTTGGTGACCACTAACGTGAAGAGTTCATCTGATACGCCATGCCTAAGAATGTCTCCCACGCATCGCTGTCGCACCGCGCTATAAATGAACGCAATAAAGATTTCCCCACCGCACTACCGGATTCATGAATAACGAATACTAGACACATTAAACTGGATTTAAAAAAATCTTTCTGAATATACCATTTAATAGTTATTAAATAAATTTGTGCTTACCATTCTAGACTGAAATAGTGTAAGTAAAATTGAAAGCGATTCACGCTTTGTTTTCAAACTGTACACACTTATCATGCGTGTCATAATGAGGAACAAAATAACCAAATTGTACATGTCGGGCGAGATTTTTGTGCGATTGATTTATGGAGCCAGCAGGCTTTAGACGTGTGGCAATTTTATACTTAATAAGTAATATTTAGATGAGTATTTAAATACCCATCTAGAGTAATATTTAGATGGGTATTTAAAATATTGATTATATTTACTTATGAATCAAGCGCAAATTTGAAAAAAAACTTTTAGATGCTCATAAAAAAAACATTACAATAATATTGTATTAAAAGAAATTCAATGCAATAAAAGACATTCAATTGTTCGTACTTAAGAGTATTTAAAGTCCCTCGATTCACCTTTGACTTTACCGAGACAGAGGCTGCATTAGCTACACGTATTGAAGAAATGAATCTCCTGAATTCCTGTATTAGATTTTTCCAATAAATCGAACATTTTAATTCAAGCTTTATGGCGTAAAACATTTACACCGCTTAAAGTTGATTGCATTCTCTTCTAGTTTCTGTTTTCTCAATATTGATGCTGAATATTTATGATATAATGAAGGTAAAATTAAGATGTTAATACAAGTTACGTTGAAAGTGTATAATCAACTGGATCGAAGTAATCAAAGAATCACTGTTCCATTAGATCAAATTGAGACGGTGTCTAGACTTGCTTTTAATAAAATATTTAACTCACTTCTGTAGTTAAGTATAGGGGATGCGTAAAGTTTGTTTATGACGTTATTCACGCAGGCTAGTTACATCGTGCGCACCAGTACAGAGGTCAAGACAAGAGGCAGGTAAAGCGTCCTGGCAACGGGACGATAATTAAACACCGTACATCACTGAACTCGGCAGCGATGCTCACCCTTAAGACGCTTCTCTTGCGAGTACGAAACTTGCAGGCGCTGAGAATATCTTTAAGATCTTAAGGTTATTACGAGCGGCATGCTCAACCCAAAGACGAGATTTTTGATGAACGAGTTTCTATCTTAGCAGTGCATTGATTATCTTTATTTTCAAATTATTACGAATCTTCACAATCTAGCAGGGGCACATGCAGTTGAATGAAATCCAGAAACAGATACGCGATTTTGTTTGTTTGGCAATTCACTCTCACAAGTTCGTCATCGTATCAATTCGATCGAGGTTTTGGTACCAGGGAGAATTAATCGCATAATTATGTCCCTGGACCATTAACCCGGATATTTTATACCGTTATTACTAATAGCGAGCTATGATTAATCAGTTTCAGGGGCAATTACAGAACACGTTTAAGTCATAGGAAGGTAGAATTTCCGTTGTTGAAGATTCCTTTAGAGTGATGAGCAAGAAATAGTTTCAGAAGCAAGGCCATAAGCGGCAAAACAAGTTAATGAGTATAATTAAGTCACGTTGACTGCAAAAATTTAAATTTATCCTCTCACATCATGCCTGGGTTTTCCACGTCTTTGTAGCCGCTCCATACATAATGATTTAATTGATATGCAACTGGCAATGTTACCGTAGAATTTATGGACCTAAAAATACCGAATATAATTTTGGAGGTCATTTGATATCGAGTGTAAACAATTAGCGATTATCGATTAAAATGCTTGTTTGGTCATTCCGAGGAGATTCAGTGATAAACATTTCATGGAATGTAGTAATTTGATCCTACATGAATCATCAAAATCGCGTGGCGTCGATTCTAACGAATTTTTATGTTGGATTACTTCCCACTGAGCAGTGCATGTGTCTGATTTATGAGATATTTCAGTGATTATCTTGGTAGTACGCAGCATTAGGAGACGGAGCCGTCCCTCGGTCAGGTTTACAGACAAAAAATTTCTATCATGAATCTTCTTAGTTATTTTTTTATATTATATAAATTATTGTGCAGATTATCATATTTTACTCGGAGGAATCCTGCCAGAAAATTCTTATTTTAATATTATTATGCTGATCATCACGCAATAACGGAGAAAACCTTGGCTAAAATAAGACTTTCGTGAGTCACCGTAAGTTGATTTTTTCTCTCTATCATTGCGATTAATAAAAAAATATCACCGTAAGAAATAAAATCCAGTAAATGTACTCTCCTTGAAATGGCTGTGTCTCATGGAGGCCAAACATCTTTTTTTGTAAAAATCAAGCATACAAACCCGTGTTTGCCGATGAGATTTAAATTTCATTAGGAAGCGCGTCTTGCTTCGCTCGCGAAAGAAACTCGTCTTTGCATTGCAACGTCGAGGCTGCGCACGAGAATTAGTTATCATTGAGCGAGCTTAAAGCACGTGATGGAAAGGACAATACTGATGACTTCCTGTGTGTCATGAGACATCCTGATCGTGAGTCAGCAACTTTCTGGTCATGGCAGGAGCGCTTTCTGTCGTAGCATATCCTCATCCGCAGAGAAGAGGTCGCGGGCGTAAAAAATCTGCCTCATAACTCTGTTTGGCTTCAGAACCTGATTGAGTAACATAAGTTGAAACAATTTTTGTCCAACGTATCTTGAACTAGAATTTTATATTCTTGTCGTTAATCTTAGATTTTAGTTATTGGCTAGTCAAATTATTTAAGAGTTAATTTTGGTATTAGCTATACAGAGTCACTCAACCTATTTTTATTTGTTAAAGTTGAGTTCTTCACTCTCTGCCTCAGTGCATTAGTGAGTCTTTTTGTCCAATAATATAATAGGCGAACATTTTTTCATTCGATTTTTCGGAAAGGCGGGACAATTTTTATTATTAGTCATTTGAATAACTGTTCTAATTGTGGTGTTATTGTTTAAAAAATGAGTGAGAAAATACGAAAGAGTCTTCCTTTTTATTTCTTACCTCGCTAATTTACCAGTACATAAATAAAAAATGTCACTTTCCAAGCTAAAAAAACTTGCTTTGCAATCAAAATTTCGGTTTTTAGTTCGAAGAAAATTACCATGATAGTTCATCTCTATCGAGTAACACCGGTCAAAGATATAAATAGTTAACGCAAGTTACTCTTATTTGAGGTTATCCCAATTGGTAAAACTGAAGATGTCTCGTAAGTACCAAAGATAGAATAGGAACGACATGCAGTTATGCGCGCATGCAGCAGACTCACCAACGCTAGTCTACACGCAGGCAGAGGCTACCCGCCTGCAACGGGTCCAGGTAAGGCGACCTCGCCTGGGCAGGCCTGGGGATAAAACCCGCGCAGCGTGTCAAGCCTCGTTACTGCTCCAGCGACTGCCGCGGCGCCTGCAACGCTCGATAGGTGGGTGTCCCATCCTACACAGGTGCTTCTTCGCTGATAGTTGTTTGTAGAACACGTCAGGGAAATATTTTCGGCCACACGGCACTTTTTGCAAGAGTTTCTTGTTATGATAATAATTTGTATTGTGGATTGTGTTGTGAAGTAATTTAATTGTGTCTTAAATCTATAATCAAAGTATAAGCTAAATGATGTGTATGAAAATACTTTTCTTCGCATTCATGATTTTCTTGATCACCCTTTCATGATCATGAGAGAGTCTCTTCTAAGACAAGTTAGCATATTCGGAGAAGTATCTTGAAATATTCAATATTCGATATCGAAATGCCCCAAAAAATCTGCATGTTACTTTCGGACATTTGAATGACATAAAAATGAAGTTTAATACCAAATGGATACCATTTGATGAAATCTACCTGAATAGATTTAACACTGGTTCTAAAACTTGGAATAAGGCACTAAGCATAATTTCAAGACATAAACTAGATTATTTGTATGGAAATGCTTTTTTTTGCAAAAATGAACGTAATTTCATGATTATTTTAAACATGATTTTTTTCCCAATATGGTAAACTGCATCGCAAGAGTTGACTAGTTGCGAATAATTGCCTTTTTAATTTAATACTTTACAAAATTGCCAACACAGTGGGCATCAGTGCATACTCAACTTGTTTCTGTTAATTTACACCATAATTTTTAGGCGAATTCATAAGTTGTACACAATGGAACAGATGTAGATGGTTATTTTTTGAACAGTTAATTTATTCCTGTAAATATTACCACAAAAATGATTGGCGTCACAAAACATTCGTAGAAATAAAATTGTGAAGCATTCGCTTTCTGTTTGATACAGAAAATGAGCGTCAGGATCACCAAAATCATGAAAGCTGCTTAAAACTTATTACGCATTTCTCGACAAGTGATCATATCTACTACTGTAAAACTAAACGGAAAATTCAATATTAAATAGTGAAAAACTAGGGTCAATTGATTAGTTATCAAATTATTTTATTGGGGGATTTTTCTGTGCAATTGGTCCCATACGTCGTAACCCAGTAACTTGGGGTTGTATATTTCTGGTAAAGTTATATTTTCTAATACTCTAGAATCACGTGTTTTTGCTGTTATGTTCAAGACGGTTTCCATTTTCATTAGAAAGAGAATCAAGTGCGCCGTCCCATCCTACATTTAAACATGAAAACTCTTCTGAAGAGAATTTATTGTCCAAAAAATTTTGGCTATAAAGTACTTGTCGTGAGCCTGGGTATATTACAGTCACCTAATCCAACCCGAAATAGATTGAAGGATTGAATAGACAATTATAATAGAATAGACAATCACCTACGTCGATCTGAAATAGATTTGGGCAATTATTTTAGATCTATCGCTTCCGTTGTTGCTGACGGAATAAGCCTCTTGAGGCACTCTTCATGACATTTTAAACCTGCCAGCGACAACTCAAACAACTGTGACTAAGCAAATTAGATTACTTCCGTTGGGTGGGACTTTGGGTGGGACTTTGTTAAAATAGCGATGCCCCTTTCCGACCCAATTTGGCCTGGCGTATCAGAGCTACTTTTTTTATTTAGCTAATCGGACAAATGATTTATTCATTTTTTCTGATAGTTACGGTCAATTTCGCAAACTGACGAGCTTCAGGAATGAATTAAGAGCTCTAAGTACTAATGAACCCTCCCCCCGGGTGCTTTCACAAACAGAAAAGGAAACTAAGTCCACAAACTTTAAATTTACAATTTTTACTAGATAAACCGGTGGCAAAATTGTTTGATTAATTTTTAATGTGAAGGTTTCTAAACATTTGACACCATATACAATTCGGAAGTATCATTAAAAATTGAATATTATAATTCTGTATAACATATAATATAGCATATAATAATGTTACTATTCGCCAGGGTCGCAGCTAACGATATGAAAAATTCTCTCGCGTAATAGCTAGGGAGTTATTGAAACAGTAGAAATTTTGCTGCTTCCGTTTTAGGTTTCCGCAATACCACATAGTTTATAGAATGCATAAGATTTCAATGATATTCTCTCCACTGCAGGATGACATCTTCCAAGTCAATTGAATCGACAGCCGCTGTGCTGCTCGTACTCTTCGCTATCGGACAGGCAGCCAAGCTCGATAACCTCTCTGCGCAACAAACAGATAACCGCCAGAGGTTCGCAGGCGCAGCCAATTTACTGGGTTCATACCTGCCTCCCGTGCCAGAACCCTGCAAAGATGTTACTTCCACTATCACGCTACCTGCCTCAACCGTCACTCGCACGGAGTACCAGAGTGGACCAGGAGTTGAGCGAACCGTTACGATTCCAGGCGAAGTGATCACCCAAGTGTCCACTGAGTACGTGCCTGGTCAAGATGTCTACGTGACAAAGACTGAATACAGTACCGTTGAGATTCCTGGACTTGCTCAAACTATCGTGAGCACTCGGCTTTCAACGGTCTTAGACTACAAAACTACGACTCAAGTCCAATACTCGACTGTCGTGTCTACCATCTTGAGCACCCAGATTAGTTCAGTAGTTGTGCCGACCACAATTGTTAACACCAGAACAACGACGGTCACTAGTCAGATCGTCAATACACAAACCATTACTCAAACTCAAACTAGAACACAAACGCAAACTCAAACTTTGCCCGCCCGCACTGAATATATAACTACTACCAGAACCAGTACCCTACCAGCTCGTACCAGCACTGTCGTGTCCACACGAGTATCCACCGTGGTAGATTACTCAACCATTTTTAATACCGAATATCTGACGAATACCATAACTCAAACCCAGGTCTCTACTATCCGTTCTACAGTCTTATCTACGCAAGTTGTCCCCACAACTATCTACGACGTCGAAACCACCACTCAATATTCTACCAAGACGAATGTCATAACTTCAACTGTTAGAGTGCCTGGAGAGCCTGTCATCAGAACTGTCACTGCTTCCGCACCACCTATTGCACCACCTGTGACATCCTACGTTACCGATTACGTAACAGAACCTGTAATTCAAGTATCCACCATCTTTAGCACTCGTGTGGTCACCACGACCGTGGGAGGAGGCCGTCCTGGTGTAGTAAGCACTGTAACAGAAACGCAGCCTTGTGCGCAGATTACCAAGCCTGGGTACAACTATGATGCTCCCTCCGTTGCTTTCAATTTCTAGAGAAAATGATGGTCCGGCGTGCTAATTTAAATCTTGAAGAGACAGACCTTGGAATACTCTCACATTCTTGAAGAAATTGGTTTAATATGAAGACAGAATACATAGTAGAAATTTAGCAATAAAAGTAATATCCTCTTTCTGTATATAACACACACATGTATTTATTGATCATCTTAATTCACAATGATGATTCACACACATATTCGTAATTCATTTAAACTCCAAATTCACCAATGTTTGAAGACAATGCCCCAACTTTTCAAGGTTCCGATGATTAAATTTCATTAGAATAATTTCTTGATTTGTGTTACAGTCTGGTTACAATCTGTAATGATAAATAGCTATGATTTTCAAGAGTGCTGAAACGAGTTAATTAACAAAATGAAGCGTATGATTGTGAGCCGTCTTGAATTATTTTCCTTGCTTAATCTTGCAGTAATTTGCCAATGATCGAATTGAAACAAAAGAAATTTTCTCACATTAACTTAGGTTACTGAAGCACGAAGCATTCAGAATTATGGCCGAAATCGAAAGTCATTACCCGTGCATTGAAACTGAAGAAAAACTCTTACATAGAGAGAAGAATGAAGAAATTATGCACGAGAAATGTATTCAACTAACAACTATTAAAAATTTCGAAATTGATACATTGGGATATTGAGTGAAACTTAGTAGCATGTTTCATATAAAAAGAGAACACGAGAAGAATACTCATGAGCTTTTAATAGCATATTCATGAGCCTTTTTAGCGCATTTTCTCATTTATGGGAAAAATGCACTATTGTGCTCGCCATGTCCGTCTGTCTGTCTGTCCGTCCGTCTGTCCGTCCGTCCGTGACCTCAAGTTTTCGTCGACGAGAAAATGCGCTCTCTGTCACTCACTGCAGTGAGTACTGAGTTATATTTTTAATAGAATATTCATGAGCTTTATAATAGTTAGGAATAAATATGCTGATTTTACACAATCAGCATATATACTCACTTGGCAGCGTTGCCATCATGATGAGGCTCCCGCTGTGGCGATACCCTCGCACTCTCTCAGCGAGGTCGCGGCTTCTGCAAGCGAGAAAAAAAGCTTCCGCTATACAGTGTGTACGCTTCAAAAACGTGTATTGTTGTCATGAAAATAAAAGGAAAAGTTTTTGTTGTGATTGTTTGGAGGGCAGAGCTTTAGTTAATGATGATGGTGTTGCGGTGGTGACGCAACCAAGGCCATAGAAGATAGCATACGAGAGGTTAAGAAACAGTTTGCATGATACAACTTTTTCCATGACGGCTACCTCCATATTTTGTACTGTTTTATCAGTTACATTTGTTCTTGGCTTGAAAAAGCAGTGCAAAGTTTATTTATTCATTTTAGCGTTTGAAAATAATTTTATCTAATATTGCAATCTTTAAAAGAATTTGCAAAGTTCATGTTCTAAGAACCTCTGAAAAATTAAAATGCCGAATGTTTTTATTTCATCACTTTAAATTCTGACAAATTCACAGAAAGTGAATGATGAAAGTATGCTGTGTTATAATAAAATAATGTGAAGAGAATGAATAATTTTTCAGGGATCTCATTATTTTGTCATTAAAAATTCCATTGGATAAAGTTCAGAGTACCAAGATTGAAGCAGAGACGTGCGGGTCACGGATACCGTCATTGTAGAGGTATCTATGATTCCTGATTTTTCTACAAATATCTTGTTCTCAAAAATATATAAGATTTTTTACGATTTTTTAACTTTAATTCCTTTCACTAACATATATTTAATTCACAACAAAGTAAAAACTCACTCGAAATTTCTTTCTGCGTTTCTTGGCACTGGTATCAACGTTACGTAAACATAATTTGCTTAGGGCAGCGGAATTAGCGAAAAATCGACGTGGAGCCAGCGACATGCCTAATCCCTGCACTGAGTCAACCATTAAATTGCATTGAGGACCAATTTCAAGGATGTCAAGTACGGAGTAAGCGCGGGAACGAAAAGCTGAATGTATAAAAGCTTAACCCGTGCAGAATATTATGAGTCTTGTAGATGCCATCAAAGATAAAACTAATTTCATCGAAACGTAACAGAAGCGTGCGGAGAAATTTGAACGGCAAATGAAGAGTCTAGAGAAGAAAGTTTAGAGTTTGCTGTCTGATAATAGATCAATGAACATGACCATTCACAACTCAAGAAAAAATGGCTACATGAGCATAGGGGAACTCAGGAGCGAACTTCAGAAAAGAAGAAACACCGAAAAAGAGCTCGAATAAGCCCTTGGCGATCAGTTGATGAGATTGGAAAAGACGAATGCTCGATTGTGCGCTCTAAAAGAAACGTGTAAAGACAAAGCAAAGAAACTCGCGAAACTTTAAGCTCTTACAGCGCAGAAGCAAGAAGATATCTGCAGAATGGATGAACAGGAGGCAAAAGAAAAGTAAAATCTGCAAAATCTCTTACGACATCGAGATATGCTGGCACGGCACGGGGAATAATCTCCAGAAAGAGATTGTAACGAAAATCAAAAGATGGCCAAATTTCCCCAGAATCAGAGTAATAACTCACAGGTTTAGAAACTTGTATCAGATCCAGAAACAGGAGAAAATCAAATTAATTAAGAGCATGCAGTGAGTGAGACATCAGGATCAAATTCATCGTCCTCAAACCCTACAGGAGTTACTGCTAACAATATTGCATAGATTCAAGAAGAAAACGAGCTTACAGAAAGTTTAAGCCTAGGATACCACAGCTTAGCTAGCTTCGATGTGACTTTGTAAGATCATGACGGTACATCCACCATGAACTTGAACCTTGAAGAAAACGAATAAACGGGAAAAATGCATTCGGCCGAGCACGAATTTCGTCGATCAAGTCACGAATATCAAGATGGCTGTAAACGAGTAGACTCGGCTGAAGAAAATTAAATCTCACCAGCGAGTGTCAAAAGGTTGGGATTTGCAAGCCTTGAACGCGACAAGAAGTCAGTGGATGAATAACTTGGTCAAGCAAACCTGAATTCCAAGTGTGCAAGAAGCAGTATCGAAAATACGGTGATCGCAAGTAAGAATTACGATCTAAAAAGAAAAGAGAGCCAAAGTGGCTATAAATTTAGAGACAAAACTAATGTTAAAGGAGAGCACGTGAAAAAAGTACAGTAATACGGATGTGAGATCAAAGAAAAAGTCGATGCTCTGAACTTTCTTCTTAATCAGATGGACGAGTAGGTGGATTACAGTGCTTCCATAGAAAAATATTGACACTTTCAATGAATAGCTTTCGTTCTCTTCGCGAAGAGGAGTGAGAATTTCTTCCTGAATTTCTGAAGATGTGAAATGAACGAATGTCATACCAAACTTTATTTTCTTAATTGCTGCAAACTAAGCACATCAGTGAACTTATTTTTATAAGATTAAATGTAGAAAATTATCTTCAGACTATATATTTGTGTAGTGCCGGTATAACATTTGAATTTGTTTTTAATCATGTTAAAGTGGTAGGAAAAGTATTAGCACGTGTGGCTAACTCTGCACAGATTTTATACTTTTTATTATGGTCATAATAAACCTTAATTCTATAAAAGTCGCAATTAGCCTTTCCTTTGCGATAGAAAAAATAAATATCAGGCAAAAATTTCACGAGTCTCAATCTTGAGACACTCAATAAACAGAGACACACTCATAATATGCCTAAATATTATTTTAATGGAAAATATGTTATGGAAGCTAAGACATTTCCTACAGATAATGTTGAAAGAAAGGAATAAGTTTACGGAAAGTTGATTTCTATTTCATAACGATTTTTTAACGCTGTGCATTCTTTTTCAATACGTCTTGATGCGATAAGATAAGAGCAATCTTATCCTTTACCAAGGCGGCGCGTCACACTAACGCTAACGTTGTGTTCACCACAAGTTGTGGTGTGTTGTTCTGTGCGGTCAGTAATTTTTTAGCTCTGCTGGTAAAAAATTGCGTTTCTTATGCCTGTAAATAATAAGTGACAAAAATTGCTCTGAAGTCATTCTGTACCAAACATTTACTGAAACTAAATATCTCGAATGGCTAAGTAAACCTGGAAAGAAGCTCAAAGCTGGAGCTTAAATGAGTCCTAAAGTGTCTCATTGGTATGAGTTCCTAGTATAAAATTCAAACTCTTGTCATTCATTAGTTTTAATAAATTTTTTTAATACAAATAAAATTTTTTTTTAATTTTTCCTTCAATTGTTTTAAATTAAATTCTCAACTTCATCGAGGCAGATTTGAGTTCTAGCCAACGAGTGCACTTCATGTTGATTACGATGAAGAGAACACGATGGTGTGGCTGGCGGCTCTCATTCACCGCGTTTGTGGTGGTGAACTTTTTGCCAGGAGGATATAGCGATTCTGACCCCATCGAGAACTGCAAGCCCAAGGGCGGCGAGACGATCCTGTGCAACGACAGGACAGAGATATGTCGCAAATTAAACCTAGCAGTGGTTAGTTAAATTGTTTTTCATTGGTCATTTCCATTACTGATTTTGAAGTACAGAGCAAAACTAAAGGAAGTTTCACCACTGGTTTACGTAGTTTCTAAAACATAAATGAAAATTTACCTCAAAACGCGAGAATTTATCTGATCCATGGTCTATAGTAGGAGGAAAGAAAAGAATATTTTTTCATTGGAATGAGTCCAAGATAAATTATGTATTCCGCAGATCTATGACGTGGAAAACTATTGCAGCAAGGGTGAAGTTCCTTACTTCAATCCTGCCTTCATCTGCAACTGTGACGTCATTTGCGTCGGAGCGCTCGGTGAGTCATAATTACGTATAACTTGAGTTTAAATTGAACACTTATGAACGTAAAGTGTGCAAGCATAGATTGTCTATTCAAAAAAGAAGAAGCAAACTTAGACGAATTTTTTACACGATAATACTTAATACGTATGATTTTTAGCGGTTTTTACAATTACTAGAATTTCGTGCTGGAGTGCCATTTTTTTCTGCAGAGGAAGGTGCGGAGTGCAGCATGAACTTCGCTAACGACTACCCAAAAGATCTGTGCGGGAACGGCCTCGACTGTATATCCAACGGCAGAACGTATACATGCCAGAGAAGTAAGAGAGAAATGAGAAAAGGTTTGTTCATAAAACTAAGTTTCTGAGAAGAGAAATAATGGTAAATCTGGTAAAAATGAACTTTGCAAAGATAAAAAATTTAGTAAAGAAGATGTTATGCATATTTTGCGAAATCTGTCGCAAAATGCTGGTGATAAATAAACACAATATACTTTAGAAAAATCCCATTACTTTCAAAATTGTTAAAATTATTGAAGTCGCATATTCATTATAGACGTAGTTATCTGCCAAATTTAATTTTCGCCTACTACTGTAATAGTCTAAAATCTAAATAGTTAGGAATCTATTATAACTACCAAATTTAGCATGTAAATAGAAGCAATGACCGGGAACGTATATCACATTACAAAATGTTATTTGGCCCTTGATGAAATGTCATCGTGTTTATGGTGGCGAACTTTTTGCTTGAAGTATATGGCGATTCCGACCTCATCGAGAACTGCAAGTCATTGCATCTTAGACCAGTGAGTGTAATTACACGATGAATGAATGAATCTCTTCCGTAGACCACATGAAGCCATGCGTCAATAGGACCATCGCGTACGAGAACGCGGCGGCAGACGGGATGCTCAGCCCAGGTCTCCTCCTCCCCGCCTGTAGCGATATCGGGAAATATGGGCCAGTGCAGTGTTCTACATCTTCTACGTGAGCAGTAACTGTACCACAAGATTTATCGAAAATTTATAACCAATTACCGATTAATTAAACTTGTAGACAAATATGATATCTAATATGAGGAACATACGTCAGCGTGGCAAGCTATGAGGCCTTTTTCATGTATGTCATAACTCATAAGCCTAATTTATTTCAAATATATTACAATTATCTATCATTATTGCGTTTATGCTAACATGCACAGGTCACTCGCGTCTTATGCGTCTTCAACAGAAGTAGTCGAAAATTAACGAGCGGAAATAGGGAAATTATAAATATCTTGGCGAGTATTAATTGGCGTAGATCTATTTCAAATCAGTGTTATTATTACTGCATTTAATTAATATACTGCATATTATTTTGCACTTTCATTCGGAATTGATTAAATTTTGATAAATAAAGTTTGTGATCTAACGTGACACATAATTAATTTATCTTACTGTATACGGTATTTGCTAGAATGAGTCAACAAGGTATCGACGTTTTTTATAAGTTCTGTTATTCGATATCTACTCATCGTTTTGCCTGGTCTGTTATGTTCCGACGTGTGACTGACGGAAGCATCTTCTAAAATATCAAATATTTGTGATGCTCACAATCTAAAAAGCGATATCCTTTCATTAGGTAGCGGACATTCGAAGAAACGAGAAGGAATTTGTGTGAGGATTGCAGACATAATAATTGGATTCAATAAATGATTGTAAAAATTTGTGCAGATGTTACTGCACTGATACTGATGGCAACAGGCTCTTTGGAGAGGCCGCGTACACTGAGAAGGATGCCATGGACTGTCGTGAGTATATAAATTTCAATTACTATAAGATAGCAGAATAAGCTTATTTAAACACGAGTGGTTAATGACCAGAGAAATCATTGATTTAAATTTTCAGGATCGAACAATATTCTTCAGTGGACGTTGGTTGATAAAAATTCAGGTTCATGGAAGTAATTTAATTTATTAACGACGTTTCGAATGTGACATCATTCATTTTCAAGTTATAGGAAGCATTGAATGTTCAATGCTTCCTATAACTTGAAAATGAATGATGTCACATTCGAAACGTCGTTAATAAATTAAATTACTTCCATGAACCTGAATTTTTATCAACCAACGTCCACTGAAGAATATTGTTCGATCCTGAAAATTTAAATCAATGATTTCTCTGGTCATTAACCACTCGTGTTTAAATTTTCAATTGTTGGATTAACATCATGATATCATAAACAAATAATGACGTCAGTTGTTCAGTTATGGAAGGTACCTTGAAATCGGTCTGCTTAACGTTTCTACGAATGTTGGCTGGTTACTGCGAAATTATAAGTGGTCTCGGTTTTTTGACGAGTTGTTGTTAAAATTTGAAAATACTTTAATATGATATACTTTTAATCGCCAAATTTCCATTGAGAAACGGCGCAGACTTATACAAGGCCGACAGTGATTATGAGTGATACCACATACTGCAAAATATGTGACCAGGTGACGTACATAGTTTCTAAACCTGATTATATAAGTACACATTGCGGCAGAATTCTCGACTGTGATTGGAAGGTTTAGCTTGACGAGTCGTCGATGATTGGCTGACGGAGCTAAAAACTCGAAAATATTTTTGAAAGTATGGCTCTAGAAAGACATTGTCCCCAGTCATGCAACTACTATAAAACACTTTGACGTGAAGGAAATTCTGGAAATGTAGTATTTTTTCAAACTTTTTTTTCTGCCTATTTGCAGAATATTCTTGACTTCAAGTACAGCTTCATGCAAGTGGTGTAATTTTAAAGTTAACAAGGCTTGCTAGCAGGTAGTATGAATTGTTCAACCGAGGTAGCAATACTATCTTGAACATAATGGGTTACACAATGTCTGTTGGGAACGGAGTATAAAAATATTTTTTTATTATGTTAGAGATAGAACTTTTACGCGTCTGCCATTTTTGTCTGACAAAACGGCCTAAAACAAACCGAAGCGCATTTTCACAAGCCGTTTTTGTAAAATGCCGTCAAAAGTGTTCGGAGTTTTCTAAATTCATTTTAATTGAAAAGTTTTGTAAATAGATATTGTATGAACATTTCATGCACGGATCCATGCAAAAATACTTATTGTATGTTGGTGCTAATTGCAGAATGTTCGTTGCACTGGCAAAGGAACGACAAGCTCGGATTGACGGAAGGAATGCGGTGCTTAAGTAACGGCAATTTGGATTCCCTGCAGTGCAACGAGGATTTCTGCTTCTGCTACAATTCAACTAAGAAAGCCATCGATCAGGGCCCTTATCATCCTACTATGATGAAGCTCCTCGACTGCTGTGAGTCACTCATGCAAGCTATTGCGGTTTTCTAGGAATTCACCAGTTTTTTTAGCGTTTTCTGAAATTTATTATTGAAAAATGACGGTTCATGCTCTTAAATTATGAAACCTACGTTACATAAAAACGAAGTTAAAACGATCAAGCCACCTATAGATAAACATAAGCATCTGATAATATTTACCTTGCTAGTTCACAAAGCCTTTTAAAAAATAAAAGAACATGGGCAGTAATTTTCGGGGATGTATTGTAATGGTCTCCCACTCAATGAAGCCTCACTGGCAAGCTGCACAGTCATGCAACCAGCATTTCATGTGCCTAAAATACATTTGTATGAATTTTGTTGGTTTTTCATAGATATGTAAATCTCACATGATGCAGTCATACTTTTTACCAGCATCGAAACTCGCATTTTTACGCATAATTTTTTTGCAAAACGTTTATAGCCAAGGGCAGCGTCACCAGACGGCATTACGAGATTTTTTGTTAGGAATGCGCCAAAATATCATACGTGATTGCGCTTACCTCCTGATCTATTTCAGGAAAAAGGTAATTATAATTTGTTGATAAAATACTAAGAAATACGAACCGGCCTAAACGGCATGCGCATTTTACGTGAACATGTTATAGTCCTTAAAATTCTGAAATCTTACCTATATTATGTTGAGTATGTGTGGACTTCTGTTTTGCCTTTTGGCAAGCTCAGACAACGAGTCCTATCACTCACCCAACTACACCAACCCCTGCACCGTGGCCGAGCAGCTTTACTTGCAACAAAACCCGGAGGATGCAGACTCCATCGCCATAGGCAGTAAGTTTTAGCGTGAAATTATACTAAAAAACACACAAATCTTATTACAAAGTGACTTTAGCAGAGAGTAAAGAAATACATAAATCTTATTCCAAATTGGTAGGCTACGACCGTTTTTCAACATTTTTCGTTTACGTAGCGACCACAGTTTCAATAACTTCATTTCCTTTTTTTTTCACTCTACTCGAATTTTCACCTCATTTTGAGTTAAATAGGAAGAATTTCCCTATTGCTTGTAAAAGATATGGTTATCTAATAGATTTGTAATTAGACATTCTTCGGTAAGGTTTTCATTGTATTGTATATTTAAGATTTTAATGAACATTCAGCAGTAACCCGTGAGTGAAAATATTTCAGGATGTTCCTGTATGAATCCATATAATATTGACCGCAGCGAAAAACTGGAAACGAAACGAAGTCGATGGAAAGAAGGGACCGTATAAACAATTAATATAACTAGATAATGCGTCATTCTTTTATTTCTTTTTTTTTTTTTATTTCATTTGTCACATAATCTAAAGCCACTTCTAGGCTCAGTCATTGTTTCCAAAATAATCTCAGCAATAATAAATAATTCTGCGGCTCATGTACACCAAACAGGAAATAAAAAAAACATTGATTTTTGTTGTTCGCAGTCAGTCTGAAACCGAACTGTTCCCTTGATGGTTTCTTCGCTGCGATTCAGAGCCACGAAGAAAATGACTTCATCTGCGCTGACTCGAATGGAAAACAAATAGAAAATTTCCAGTTTTCAGTTGCGGAAAAACCAAAAATGACCTGCAGTGAGTACTAAAGCGCCGAAATAAAAACGATGAGAATATTAAAATGCTAAGTGAAAAGGCTCTATGCAAATAAAAGTTATGTACTTCTTTTTTAACAACGTGGGAAAGTAAAATAAATTATGTACGAGGAACTAGGTAAAAATATAATGCAAGTCGAAATATTGCGCAAACTGTCCAATAGAAAGGATAAAAAAATCCTGAAAAAGACGTTATCGCCCAATTATTTCAGACAAAAGTAAACCATCTTACGAATTGATTATTCATTCAAATTGACTTTTCAAATAATTATACAGTGCAGCTAGGAGGTGACATGAAACGTTCTGCTATCCGAACATTGATTAGAGATATTATTACTACATGGATATGCCCAACAGACTAAGTAATACAGAGTATTACCACAAGGTAACCACATTACCATGTTACTATGCCCAACAGACTGCGCCAGACGCAGACACGTGATGCGCCAGGCTGGACTTGACGCCTTCCTACCCGAGTGTTGCCCCAACGGCAACTTCAAGTCCAGACAGACGCGCGGGCTTTACTCCTTCTGTGTAGACGGCAACGGTGACCAGGTCGGAGAGGCCAAATACGCCACTGAAGACATTGACTGTGGGGGAGATTGTGTGGAATAACTCCGTACAACCACAATTTTTATTCAACAGCTGTAATGAACAATTATTTTATCAGCCAGTAAAGATTCAGACGTTTTAACTTTAATTGCTAAACTGACTGCTGAAGTGCAACCCAAATTGGCGACCAACGCTGAACTCAAACTCACTTTTGCAATTTTTGAGAAATGAGCGAAATTCATTGGAAGCAGCGGCATTGGCGACTCCTGTTAAATCATTGATTTGAAATGAGAGTTATATTCAATTTCAAGTTTCCAGTAAATTATCAGTAAATCGTATTACTATTTCAATCAATTATTGGATCAAATCATTATTGTTTCACTTCTCCACACATTAATACTATCTGTCGGTGGAGTTTTAAACTAAAAGATTTCGTAAAATAAATTATCGATACAACTTAGCGGTTGCCTAAGTTCATATGTCACGTCAGTTTAATTCTTCAAGTCAGATTCTTTAATCGTTTTAATTATGGGATTTTACTGCCAGAAATAATTAATTATCATTATGAAAAAAGCGTCGTACCGATAAATAAATTTATTGAGCCGTAAATATCACATTCTTGTGAACCTCGCTTTAAACATTGAATTACAACGGCCATGTGATAGACCTCGAGTGCGCACTGTTCATATCGGTATCTATAATAAAATAATATTCGTTTGCGGATTACGTTTTAACGACAACGCTCCCAAAGAGGCCAATGTCTCCGATGTTACTAATCTACAATGAATTTCTTTTGTATTTTCAATGTATAAAAAAAATATATTTAAACATTTTTTCTGATTTATAAAAAATGTTTTTTTTTCCAAAATTATTTATTCTGTCAATTGATTCATGCATTGTCTCCGACTTCACGCGAGAGTGCAAAATTTCATGTCGATTGGACAGGTAGAAGTGTGTTAAAGTGTTAAATATCGATTATAAGATTTGTAGCAGACGCACAATAAGTGAAGTTAAAGGGAAGTGTTGTAATTAACTATTTTCAGTAGTTTATTTATTAATAGTTAATACGATGTATGATTCATTCCATGCAATTATTTCAAGGCAGTACCGCATAATGCACAACAATGTTTATTCTTAATAAAAGCTTTTTATTTTCATTTGGATATGTGTAAATGTAAGCACTATTTTAAGTTCTAACGGAAATAAAAATAAAATGTGGAGGTGTAAATTATTTCACATCTTGATACCTGAATAAATGATATGGATATTCCATAACATTAAAAATAAAAATATTGCTTCTAATTTCGAGCCTCTATTTACAAAAAGACTAGATTTTAAGGCTAATCACTAAAGATATTATAATCAGAAAAATTTATGCACAGTTAATACATTACAAAGTGAATACCGATAAAAGCTCAAATCAAGAATACATACTACAAAATCAATATGATTATCAGACGAGTTAATAAATGGGCACTCTAGGGAATAATGATTTACTGATTCCCATTCCAATGTTAGTCCAGAAAGCCCTTGGATTTGAGAAATTGCGTTTAAATTTTTTAGCCGCGGGTTCCGATCAATGTCCACAGTCCAGTGAGTAGGATCAAACTCGCTGAAAATTTCTGCTGTGATCCTGCATTACAGAAATTTTTCGAACAGTAATAATCAACATAACCCAATTGACGTCGCTCTCGGTGAAATTTCTTGTGGTCATAAGCAAACGCGCCTCGCTCTTCCTTATCGGGACGATCTTGAGCCAATTTTTCCACGCCATTTATATCATCATCGATGGTCATTACCATCGAGGTTTCGTCATGAGCTTGGGCTTCCCTTGCGACGATGAACGCCCGGTCCTCGGTAGCGTTGAGAGCCTCGTTGGCAGATCGCTTCGTGGCTCTTGAGGCGCTGCGAGAACCCTGGAACCGCTCTACGAACTGCATGCCGTCTGGGGAGCAATGAGATGCAGATGAGGCGATACAGAAAGTTTAGGGCTGAAAATTCGGTCAATCGAGCCATCAGTTGCTTGAGTTTGACACGTTTTACTTAATTTGTTTCGACAAAAAAAATATAATTGAAGCATTATTGTTATAATAGATTGGGGAATGTAGTAAGTGTCCTTTTATGATGCATCATAGTAGTTTGAGACCATAACTCGATGTGATCTGTTATAAGTTTCTCAGTCTTACCGCAAGTAAGACTGAAAAATAAATGAAATCTCAGACGCTCGTGTGCACACGTTCTTTAAATTTGGTAGGTAATTAATTATAGATACGACGTGTTAGTAAATCACGGTGAAGGTGGAAATTTGAAAACAGATCGTCTTTAAAATTGATTTTTCGCGTTAAACTATCCAAATTTCTGAGGAGAGGAATTGGTCGTGAAAACATAACTAAATTAGTGCAAGCAGAAAATAATATACATTTTTTGAATTGCGAATTGTTTGAAGACATCGAATTCATTATTAATGGAAGAAATTGGGCCTTATTATTTGCACAATTTTATATTCGAAATAATTTCACAAATAGCGAAAATCATCCATCAAAATATTTTGTCGGTGTAGTTTCTTTAAATCGGCAAATGGTCATTCAAAAAAGACTTTCATCCTTTCCTGCACCTAATCGAACGGACAAGCTCTGAATTTCAAATAAGTGTGAGATTTCAAATTCAAAGTTGTCTTTCAATCGAACAATACTTATATATAAAAATTTCAACTCACTGCTATAAATCACTCTTTTAATGCAAGAATTTCCAACGTCTTTGATGGTTTCTACTTTGCTCTTCTTAAAGTTTGCGTCGGTGCAGTATGGGTTGTTGTAGGTTCCTTCTGGTTGTTGAGCGTTGTATCCCGAGCAGAGGTAGCATTTCAATGACAAACCTAATGTGTGGAAAAATACTTTTTAAAATTAACATTATACAAGGTTAATTATTAATGCATAACGATTCAAGTTGACGATGGACGGAGACATTGATCAAAATGCACGGAAATCGTGTAAATAAGTCAACACCTGAGCTGTTTTAATGTTGACCGCAAACCATGCAACATAAAATTTATTTTTACAATTTACATTTCAAAAAATATTTAACAACTGATCGCACAGTGGATTGACGCGCGTTAAGGCTGGAGTCCCTGTAACTGATATTGACGATTATTAAATATAGCTTTCCAGGTCTTCATTAATTTTATTTTCCGTTTGACAGGTTATGAGTGTACTACAGTCTGGAAGACACGAGCGTTAGAGAGTAAATTAATACCTACTATATAAGTATAAAAATACCTCATTTAAACAACAGGTATTGACGTGTACTAGTCAGGTAAGTTACCTTAGCACCGTAATATCATTTACAGTGTCAACTATCCTATACGATATATAAGGGAATGCTGACAATCATCGAATTTGACTCGATTTATCATCATTTGTCAAAGATAATATTATGATCTATTCGAAGAAATTCTCAGCTGTTGCTATACCGTTTAGATGGTTGTTCTTAAATAAATTTTGTACTTAAGTGAAAAATTCACAAAATGTCTTAGAAACGCCTTAAATGTTAGAAGTCTTTTACGTTATTGCATGAACTCACCAGGTGTCGAAAAAGAAACGAAGATGATCAGTGCGAGTAATTTGCAAGGACTCATGGCTAAACTTTTCCCTTCTGGATCAGATACCGTTAGAGAGAATTCAACGTTCGGCGTGAAAAAATATAGAAAACAAATTTTTTTTTTTTAATTGCACAACGTACTTTGACTTCAGTTATGAAATTTTATGAAAGAAATGGGTACGTATTTCCAGTTGGCGGTGTAAAACAACCCTGTGTATTTTTACGAACAAAATGCAGATTATCAGACCGAAGAAACTTCTCGCGTACGTGTCTGAAGATCGTCTGCCCCCAACACAGAACGAGTAACGATATTTGAACGGCAAACATTGCGCAACACACGGCTTATTATTCGTCACCAAAGGTGCCGGTGCTTCACGAAAGTATATTATGAGATAAATTCGGGAAAGCCGATTTTTGGTACGAACAATGACAAATTCTTTCATAAATTCATAAATTCTATCAAAGAAGATATATGGATGTGAATCTATTCCCGCATAAGAACTTAAAATATCTTCAATATCTCGTGCGTGCTTTCAGGAGCGCAATGATCAGTGAAGCTCTAGATCCTAATCAAATTTTTACCAATTTGTTGTGGTAAAAAGCAAAATTGAAAAATCGAAGTGAGTTATCTGATTACGCAGGACATCGGATTGCTAAGAGAAGGCTGAATAACAGCAGATACGTTCAATTAAATTATATCGATGGCTGCAATATTCATTCTCACATCTAATTATCAATCCTAACAAATCTATTAAGACAAGTCGATCAAGTCGCATCCATCTGACATTACGCTAGGTTGATATGCATCTTGGTTCGTCACCCAAGTAACGTAGAGTCTCACGTGCGTATAGTTCAATTAGCTCTTCAAAGCAGCCGCGTTTATCATGACACCGGAAGAGACTTTGCGGAGTTAGCGGCTCCTATTGATCCAAGATCAAACTCCTTTGCCGACCACTCCAGTTTTGTTCTAGTTTTAAAGCCGAGATAAGTTTGTGGACTGAATATAATGGCCTTGTCAATCATTTCAAATACAAAGATAGCATTAAGGACAAAGCACCGATGTTCGAATTGAACCATCTTAAAATATTAGGCTTACACGAGTGATTTTCAGCATTGCCCCGATTCAATTCTAGTACGTAGACCATTTGGAATTTTCCACAGACAAAATGACCTAAAAGCCTTCAATCAACTTCAAATGTTCACCTTGATGTAGCTTCGTACAAACAAATCAAATCATTTGCTCACCGTTTAGATAATTAGACCCAAATGCTCATAATATTTTATTAAATACAAAACGCATTAACTTTTCAAATAGTTATGTACAAGTTTTAAAATATTCGCTTCATCTACCTATGGAGCGCAAAATAATTCAGTTCTTTCTTGTTGTTCATGCAGATGGCCGCCATTGCTTGCATGACCTGAAGGAGGGGTGCGCCGTTTTTTTTCAAATAACTCTTTCAGAATTGTGGTGCGTGTCAAGCCATGAGCACAATGATGGCAATGATCGAGGCTATTACTATTACAGTTCCAAGAACGATCATCGCTATCGCCCCCATCTTCATTTGCTGGAGTTTCTTGCTCTGCTCTTCAGCGGCGTCTTCACTGATGGCCAGAACCTGATGGCGGTTTGGTCGGACCGCTGACGCGTGGAAAACTGGAGTGACCCGTTCTGTGATGGAAACTAATGTCTACAACTCGTTAAGAATGTATTCAGAAGACTGGATTGCGGCTAATTATCAAAATGTATGTGCCTGAAGGAGGAAATTTGAAGAACGTTTCATTTAAAAGAATGTCAAGCTCATAACGAATGGACACGACCGGCATCGAAGGTTTTTCTTCCAAATATTCAACAAGAAATACTAAGTTCTGGATAGAAATAATTAAGAATGAAATGCTTTTACGAACACCAAGTTTATTCTTGCTGAAAGGAAAATTCCTCTAAAGAAATATTATACCCTGGCATGGAGACCCGACGACGCTTGAAGGCCGCCGTGGTGGAGTGATCCACAACGAATTTTTTTTTCTGAAAGTGTAATAATCATATTTAATAAAGTCAGTAATGAAAGCATAAACCAGAATGTGTCACGTCGTTGTGCTTAATTTATTCTAAGCATCAATGAGCTGGAAATTACCCTTTCTTTTGATCCATTGTTTCAGGAGACTCAGCACCGTTGGTAGCTCCAGAATCGCTGGAGCTTTCGCTGACGCTCGTTTTTTTCAGCAAGTTATCTTTGAGGACCGGCGTCAAGACGGGGGACTGGGTGTTGACTCCTGCGTCCGTATACGACGCCGCGTTCGAGAAGTTGCCCAAAGTGCTGCAAGGCTCGATGCTGCGGTTGGGAGTGAAGGCTGACTTCACCTTGAAGCTGAAATTTAGAATTTTAAACTGTCCTTGGGAGTTCTACATTGAAATTAAACTACTTTAATTCGTGGGATTGAGCAAGGTAAAATTAACGAAATTTTAACAATTCACGCCATGCGAAAGCGTTGTGACCAAGACTGGGAGTAAATATTTGTACTATAACAATATTTGTCATAGATTTCACCGTTGACGCTTCTAAAGAACGAGTAAACCTATAATTTTTTTTACTATACCAAATAGAAAACTTGCCTTTCGGCCGACAGCGGTGCACCAGGGGAATTTTTTCCTGCAAAAATTGAATCAAGTGAAATAAAATTCTAAATGCCCGGTGAAAGTTAATATATCAGCCTTGAACATCATTAATGGGTGCATTGGTTACACATTTGATCAATTGTGTCCACAATGAGACGATAGAAGACAGACAGGGCTCACCGTAATTGCTAGTCCCTCTCACCTGTTTCACTTGAAGCAGATAAGTTCGTTTGGTTGAGTTTCTGGAAGAAGAAACCAATTTTGGTGCACGTGAAATAAAAATTCCATCTTGCTTTCAAAATTGAGTATACCTTTTAGATAACAATGATCTTATTCGCTACTTTCGGCCCGGAAGTAAGCGTGGTTTTCATTTTCTGCACTTTCATAGAAAACCAGCGATTCGTCAATTATTTACGTGGATAGAGATAGAGTATGAAACAATGGTAATTTCGGACATGGAAGTGGAGCCTAAAAATTAGGCTACTTACCGAAATCTCAATTGCTCCAAAATCGACTGAACCCCAACTGCCGGAAAAAAAAAAGAGTCCAGTTATTGTTTGCTTGACTGTTCCTTAGCATAACATATTCGGCGCGCGTAACCGTCTATCTGGGAGAGACTGTATTTCTGCAACATTAATTCGTCATACACGCCTCACGTGTGGGCATGTACATTTTCATTCCACTAATGACATACAAAACACGTAAATGCATGACGTGAAATGGCTCATTCAATTTCTTACGGCAAGTGTTTATTACCCTACTAGCTATTTTGCTATCCCTTCTCAAGCACGTAATTATTGTAGTCTTGTGCATCTTTTTAGCTTTGGTTCGTTTCATGCGTTCACATTAAAAATGTGCACTTTATCAAATCTCTGGTGTCTTTAACAAACTCGAATACGATATTCACCGTTGGTAAGCGAACTTCTAACAGCTTTACACAATCTGGTTTCAAAACGTCACTGTTACGTTCAGAGGCAAGCTTCGTCGACAAAAGCACTTTTACCTTACGTAGGAAGGGTCGGTCTTTTTGGCTTGGTCAGCTTGGCGAGCTACTAGCGCTGTGTCGGGGATTGGTGTGATTAGGCCGTTCTTCTGCATAAACTGCTGTACAACCTGCCCCGGATATGCAAGATCTCGGGTCATAAAGCATTTAATTAAGGTGTAAATATTGAACGGGTGTCAACCGACTTCTCATTTATCAATATTCAACTTTTTCAAATAGTTAGAGGCAACAAAAATATCCAATTCGGTATGCAATCAAATCAAATTCGTATCCCTGGTTATCCTAATACACGTACTATTCTAAGGTAGCACAAGTCTCACCTGAGAGTACCGTCTGCTGTTGCTAGCAGTAACTGAATTAAAGCTAGGACGCAGCGAAAGTCCATTTGCACCGCACACCGACTCTTTCTTGATTCTCTCTGCCTCTTCTTGTTCATCGAAGTACGACGGCAGCGTACCCTGAATTAGAGAAAACTTTTCAAACATTCGAAAATGGGAGATTGTTGAACTCAATTTATACGAACAATTGAATTCAAAGTCGAGTAGTTTTAGAGTGCCGTTTTCATTGTCAGAATGCCTTTCGTGGAATGAAGCTGAATTTCTCAATTCTGCGATTGACCACATGTGAATTTATTCATTATTCGCGTTAAGACACTTTATCTTTGTATCATTTCTTCCACAAATTCCTGTCCTTAATTTGATGGCTATATCAGACACTTAATTCGAATAAAAATTGTGAAAAATTGGACAGTTCAAGCCATCATTTTGAGCCATTTGGCTGTGATCATTCTATTTCTGTCGCAAAGGAATAGTTTGTCATAGAGGTGCATATTAGTTGTGTCGTATTCGTTCTTAACGAGTGGTTGGTGACCTGTAGTCTATACAATAGAGACTGATCGAGAAGTGCCTAGTTTACGGACCGGTGGAAAATTCGAAAACTAATTACGATCTCAGAAAGTACGAAAGTCTTCAATCAATGAACATTGGTGTGCCAAGTTTTCACGTATCATAGTTCGTAATAAAAAATATATGCACTTCCACTGTGCGTCACTCACAAGTAAATAGCAGGATAATTGTGAGAAATGCAGGAAGTTTACATTTACGAGTGGAGTTTGAGCAAACCCAATTAGTGAAGGAACCGCAGAGGAACCAGCTTATGACATGGCCAAGGTCTCTTGGCTGGTAACCTGAGACAAAATATTCTAATTTCCCACAACTACTTACCTTCCACTCTTCGTGAGAAAGACTGCAATTTGACTCTGTTCTCTCAGAATCTTCCCGCTTCAACTTTAAGAAATATTCTGACGGAGACCCGTTGCACAACACGTCAGACACTGCGGGGCTTTGACCAAGCGTATCCCTGGAGTGCGACTGCCATGAAGATAAGGTCGACGGCGTCAGTTTCGTATTATGAGGAGTGCCTCTGCCTCCGACACTTCGAAGACATTTTCCATTCGTCGAGTCGTTATTACCAGGGTTTGGAGTGTGTACTGATTGAGCCGAGTGGTTCAATTCGGGTAAAAAAGTTACCATCGATGATTTCGGGAAAGTTACGTTTTTCGGTTTGCCTGAAACTGTGGCAGCTTGACTCTTTTGGTTGGTTCCTACTGGCGACTGTATCCTGCGAAAATTTAAAAATGATCGAGACCAATGAAATAAAAATATTAAAACTCAATACAATAAATAAAATTGTAATAGTTTGCTACATTTTATCAGAATTTCAGAGCACAATGTGATGTTCAGTTGACTTACGAAGTCTGAAGTAGCTCAATTGAAGGTGCACGGATCATATCGATCCCGCATCATGAGAAACTGTGCCTAATTCAAAAGTTCAGCTGAAAAGAAAATTAAATTTGGAACGTTTTGTCTCTTTAGTTTCCATTAACTATCAGGCGTAACCAATTCCTTCAAAGGATACATAAGAAATTCCATATGGTCAGGGGGGAATGCATTAACCGCATTATAACTTTAGGAACATAATCAAAAAATACTTTTCTGTCGATGAGGATAGACCACCGGATCACCAAATAATCTATTATGTACGAAATGTTTAAACCCGCTCTTGAAGGTTTCGTAGGAGGAACTAATATTTGCGCAAGGAATGGCACCCCGATTATGTCAACGAGTGAATAAATATTTTGCCTTTAGACCTACGTTCTCTCAAATTAGAGTCGACTAACGCACCATGCAATACACGGCCATCAAGCTTGTAGCTTAAAACCGGGGTTTAAAAAAGTCATCATGGACGAGACGACACGGAGGAACCGCTAGAGTGAAAGGAGTTTAGAACTGCATGCAGCTTGTCGAAGTCCTCGACATCGGTCACTCATGACTCCGCGTTTCAAAAGGCAATGACACACGCGTTTTACCAATGTCAGATTTCAATGTCATCAAAAGTTCACTTAATGGGCAGCTTGTTTACGATCATTGATTAAATAAGTTCATTCATCTAATAAGCTAGCTTCAGAAACTAGTTCTTCTCGATACGAAATGCATGGGGCGAAAGCTCAAGTTTTTAATGCATATAAGTTCCACATTCTTCACATTAATCTCCTCAGGTATTTCCCAGGACAGAGGCAAGTGTTGAATGACGTCAGTTTCGCGTCGATCTTTTTCTTAAATGCATCGTGAAGAAATGGTATTTTCATGCCACCAAATTCCACTGGAATTATATTCAAATTTTCCTTTTCTGACATTTTAGTTGGTAATGTCGCATTTTTTCTCTGGAAGCAGTATTAGTTTTAGCGAGTAAATAATTATAGCGATTACATTTGTTAAAATGATTAATTACGTCGATTTATTAAATTTTTGTTGTACTAATAACGCATCAATGAGCACGCATTAAATCCTTTAATAGACATAATATGATAACATACGGTCAAGAACCTCAAAATAAAGGGATTTCTATTAAAGATTACCATTAGGGTGTCTGATGAAATTGCTTGGAATTTCCGATCGTGCGGCAAAGGATGTAGTTAGTTTTGGCTAAGGCACTGTTCGTTCATGGTGTCGCTTTGCCAGGCGATACGAAAGTTGTGTTGAACTTTGCAAGGAATGAAATGAATACTCGAGACCAAATGAATTTTTAATAAAGCTATGAAACTATCTTTAAGCACATCAATTTAAATATTTCCTGAATTTTACATAATATAAAACACTAAATTAGCGCCTAACTTACGAAACTACTAACAACACCTATAGGCTAAGGGCACCCTAATTTCCATCTTAAAAGTAGTAGGAAAACCTATTAACTTCTACACGAAGCCCCACAATTTAGGTGGCATAAAGTCGTCTAATGTACATAAATAAAAACAATTGCCTCCCATTTCGTTTCGCAGACAGCTGGTACTTATCGCTCTGATCGAGATTCGGCGCCGTATGCAGACAACTTGGAGGTCAGATGAGAATTTGAGTGCTACAATATTCATGTTCGTTAATTTTCCTATTGATAGACATCTTATAAAGCTATGTTTATTTTCCAGGCGTCGATCGAGGGCCGGTGACCATCATCGTGTTTCTACTTGCGTCCTGCCCCCGAATAGTTGCCAGGCTGCGCGCCGCCCTCAGATAGGCATAGCGTCAGTACACTTGACGCACAGACACGTCGAGGTCAGCAGCGCGAACTGCCATACAAAAAAGGGTGTATAATATGGATGCATGGATCGAAACTATTAGCAGTTTAAAATTTTCAGATTTCAATATTTAAGCACATACATATTCGTAATATAATGATAAACAGCGAGAAATAGATTCAAGTTTACCAATAGGCGTTCTCTGTCTCCAGAAACTTCCATTTCAATAAAAAAGTCCGAGCCAAAATTTTGCTGAGAGCCTCAGTTTCTATCTTAATCTTTGTCGAAATGCAGAGCGCAAAAGGTTTAAAACAATTAATAAATAAAGTTTGTCCTCTTCAGCTCATATTATAGTAGTCGCCAAACTGATCGCCTGGCTGATATTGTTTCAAGGCTCCCCATATTTAATGTGTCCCACGCAGCAGAACCACTGATTATTAAATGAAAAAAAGACTGACATTTTAACTTCTGTTGTGATCTCATATTAAAGTTGTAATTAAACTACTGATTCTTAAGTTATTGCGAATAATTTCCTGAGAATATTAGTTCTGTAGTGACCTCAGGTCAGGAGCCGTACTTTCAAATCTTGCCTGTAAGTACACGTAACGGCCGATTACTCGTCTGTGATTGTAGGTTTAGCTTGAAAAGTCGGCAGTAATTGGCTGACTTAGTTACGAACTTATACCTATTTTCGATATTGCGGCTCTACAGGTGCGCCCAAGTGTGCTCGCTTGATTACATTTATCTAGGCAGGGTGGCCTAGTGGTTAAAGTTCAGAGTACCAAGATTGGAGCAGAGAGGTGCGGGTTCGATTCCAGCTCTGTGCGCCAGTTTCTGGTCAGAATCGGCGAGGAGGCCGGGCGGTTTAGCACAGCAGAATTTGAATCAGTGAGTTGTGAGTTCGAGACCGCAACAAGCTCTGAATGTTCTGCGATGTTAAGAATCGGCGACAGGCCTACGGCCTACTAAACGCTGAAACCGCTATTATCTGTCGAAGTATAAGTAGGGACCAATGTTGAGTCTTTGATTGATTGGCTTAGCTTGAAAAGTCGATAATTATAGGATGACTAAGTTATAAAATTGCTACTATTTCCGCTAGTACTGCATTAGGACTGTAAACTCTGGTGGTGTGGTGCAGTGCAACTAGGAAAAGTGCTGAAAGAGCAAAAGTGGCCAGACAGAGGAAGGAGAAATGGAAAAGACTCTAAACTCTCACCACCAACACCCCGAAAAAGATGGAGAAGTGTATCGTGGCTACCGCCTTGTCAGCGACGTCTGCCAGGAGCTTCTCATAGCAGCCTGTGATATAGAGATCGTTTGTGTTCTTAGATGTGCACGTTGTTCCTGTGAACTCCCTGCAGCATCCTGCTGGGCGTTTGCCCTGTAATAGTGACACGCGTTATACCAGCTATAAGATTGAATTAAGGCAAAAATGTAAAGTAAAAAAGAGTTAAATGAAATAAATGTTTTTTTCGTTCGGAAATAACAAACAAAATATATTTGAATAAGTATGAACGGAATTATAAGGCGATAAAATTAACTTTTTTTTCCAGAGCAAAATAGATATAGCAATATAATAAACGCTTATACTACTGGAACTCCCATAGTCTGAGAAATCAAAGAATGGATTCAACATTGACCTCATGATTAAACACTTGAGATCAAAGCGAATTTTTATTTTCTAAAATTAATATATATAAATTGGAAGTTCTATGTAATGTTGCCGCGATTGCTGAGATAAATACTCCACGAGATGAAAATCTTTCAAGGACATTTTGAGGCGAATCAAAATAATGAAATAAATAAATAATTACCTTCCTAATCTCTTGAAAATATTAACAACAGAAGTTTTCACGAAACAAATTTAAGCTTCTAGGTTCTCAAGAATAACTTGGAAGTTAAGATTAACATTGATAATCCATTAATTTCGAATTTTTTCTAAGGCGAAAAGTATAATTCGAGATCTGAACTGATTTATCTCCTCTAGTACTACCTAACAACTGTCTCATTTTTCGATAACTTATGCATTGTTCCCTTTACCTAGCACCCAACAATTATTCCCAAACTCTCACCTAACCATTGTTTCATTTCGATAAAATTTAACCATTGTATCAGATCCCTAGTACCTAACCAATAGTAACCATTGTTTCATTTTTTATGACTTGACTATTGCATCCTTTTCCTAGCCCTTCACGATTGTCTCTTTCACGAAGCACTCAACCATCGTCTCTTTCTCTAGCGCCCAACCGTTATCTCCTCTTATTACACTCAACCATTGACTCTTTCTCTATCACCCAACTATTCTCATCTTCTCTAGCACCCAACCATTCTCTTTCTCAAGCACCCAATCTTTGTCTTTTTCTCGAACACCCAACCATTGTCTTGTCTCTTTCTGAAGCATACAATTATTGTCACCTTTTCTAGCACTCAATCATTGTCACCTTCCCTAGCACCCAATCATTGCTCTTTCTCGAGCACCCCATCATTGTCTCCTGCTTGCCAGAAGATATTGTATCCTCTCCCTATCTCATACCTTTGAGCAGAAATGCAAGACTTATCCATTGTCTCATTTTTCTAAAACTTTACCATTGCCTTAGAGACAAACATCACACTTACGTCTGGGTAGTCGTAGCAGTTCATAGATCCACAACACTGGTTCTGGGGACGCATCATTTTCATTAAAACTCGTTATGCACGCATCAAACATTTCGAAGCTTAAATAAAATTATATTAGCAATATGAAGAGTTCATGTATGATATCTTAAATCTCTAATTATCTCACATATATAAGCATATAGGAATAATGTTCAAATACGAAGTCGTCGTTCAACCGTCACCGTCCGTACACTTACATTTTTGTAGATTATATCGACTTGGTTTTCGAATTCCCCGGGGCTGTCGAGATTGTAGTTTTGAACATCATTGTCCATTTTGACCTTGATGTCGTCGGCGTATTTCTCGTTGTTGATGTTGGCGGCGCCCATGCCAGCGAACACCAGCGTGATGCCCACCAGGGCCAGGCCGAGCACGAAGTACTGCGAAACACTTTGGTTATATAATTACAACTCACTTACAATTTTGATTTAGATATACATACCACGTTAAATTTAAATTCATTTGTTTGCCGCACCAAGAGCAAACACCATGGCAATCGCCAGCAAAATATCCTCATGTACTTTTCGATTTGCTCTAAGTAATTTGCTCTGTTCAAGTAATTTGAACTCGTGCTTATTTAGCTACTTGAATGTTGAAAATGCTATAAAACTGACAATATTTGTTAAAATTCGGGTTCAAACAAAGTAGCTTTTTGTCCTGGTAACAAAGCCAGAGATACTAGACATATTGTAAAGGAAGAGCTTGTTGCCGCAACAGCAAGACCTAAAGACTACTCACAGTGTAGAAGAAGAACTTGTTGCCGCAGCAGCAAGCACTAATTGGAAACTCACAGTGTAGAGGAAGAGCCTGTTGCCGCAGCAGCAAGCACTAAAGGATACTCACAGTGTAGAGGAACAGCTTGTTGCCGCAGCATCAAGCACTAAAGGATACTCACAGTGTAGAGGAACAGCTTGTTGCCGCAGCAGCAAGCACTAAAGGATACTCACAGTGTAGAGGAACAGCTTGTTGCCGCAGCAGCAAGCACTAAAGGATACTCACAGTGTAGAGGAACAGCTTGTTGCCGCAGCATCAAGCACTAAAGGATACTCACAGTGTAGAGGAACAGCTTGTTGCCGCAGCAGCAAGCACTAAAGGATACTCACAGTGTAGAGGAACAGCTTGTTGCCGCAGCAGCAAGCACTAATTGGAAACTCACAGTGTAGAGGAAGAGCTTGTTGCCGCAGCAGCAAGCACTAAAGACTACTCACAGTGTAGAGGAAGAGCTTGTTGCCGCAACAGCAAGAGACGACCACCCCAAGGGCGCTCAAACAAATGATGAAGGTGGAGGCGGACTGCAGGCCAATGAGGACGTCCAGAGGTTCTTGTGGGATGTCGTGGCCGTAGCCGTTCAGTGTGGTCTGAATGACGGACGCCAGAGTCAGCACAATCACCCCAGCAATCTATAGAAAATAGGTGAAGTTTCATGAAAATTTATCATGTGATCAGTATAATACGCGTGGGCGTTGGTGTTTATTATCTTGTTTGTAATTTAAAATGAAAATAGACATAAACTAGTGCAACTATGAAGCCTGCTCGCCTCACTCACGAGAAGCGGACTCATTAAGCTACATTCAATTTCATATTAAGTTCTCGACTCAAGCATATTTTCATCAACGTCTTAGAAAAGTCACCCACACGATTTACAAAAGATATTAAAAAATTTTAGCCATGTCTTACACAACACACAACAAAATCTTGCATTCTATGATGCCCCGAACAACTGCATGCAAGGCGAATATGAAGCACCACGTCTTCGTTCATAGTGTATAAGCAATCTCAACTGAGATTATTAAATAGAAGCAGCTCATTTCCGTGCATGTTTGATTGTATCAATACAAATTTTATGAAATGAATAAAGTTTTCAGAAAGATGAACAAATCTCGATGTAATAGTATATCTATTATTAATTACTTCTTAGATCGAACATCTAACTTAATTGCTAACACGATAATTGCTTATTTCTGAAATTATCTGAAGAAAAATGTTACTAATTACAATAATATTTAGATAAACCTAATTTTTAACGATAACTATTAAACCAACATAATTGTGCGCCACTCACCGCCACCAAGATGTTGAAGGCAACCAAGAACGTCTTGGTAATCATGCCCGTGATGCAACCCATCTTTATTTTAAACGCACTAGACCAATATAAAAATCTTAGAACAGGTCCGGCATTAATTTCTAGTTCGGGGACATAAATACTGATTATTAATAAGAAGTATCGAAAACGGCAAGTCATTGTTCGCCGAAGTAAACATTGCTCGTTACAGGGCAATGATGTTATCCGGCAAAAAGGGACTAATAAAAGTCCAAAAATTGTTAGTGAGTATTATTAAAGCCCTAAATCATTCACCTACTTTTATTGGTAATTGATGTACATATTCTCATAAAATATCGGTGTACATCATGAAGCCTAATCTAGAGTTGTACTTTTCAGTAAACGGTCTAATTCCGAATGGGACAGCAGCGTATTTGGCCGCCATTTTAGTGTTGTAAAAAGGTTTGTCGGAACTATATTAGCTCACGTGTCTGGCAAGGGAAATGGACGTGGTCTTACTGGGAACTAAATTGCTGAAGTAGCGACCCAATAATTTCATATCATATCACTCCTTTTAAAATGTTCTATCGTCAAGCTTATGAATAATTGTTAGTTAGTTTAATGTTTTTGGCTACTTAGTTAACAAAGCAGCTGGATAATGCAGATTGTTTACACTATTATTCAACCAAAAGAATAATTTATCACTTGAATTTTCTCTATAACAAAGTTAATTTTGTTATAAACACTGTCCTATGAACCTAAGAGAACTCTACTGAGTTGCCATTCTGGAATCACAGTCATCACACACATTCACAGGAATCACAAAGTGGATGCCGAGATGGTAACGCATCAAACAATTTACAATTAATACTGATAATCACTTATGGAAAGTGATAAATTGAATTAATTTGATTACTTTCAAAATTTACAGTACTTCTTATAACTATGCAGGAAAATGGGCTGAACACTCGATGAAATTAGATTGATAGCCGGAACTTCCACTATATCAATGACATGATCGTTTTCTCAAACTCTATGAGTTAGAACAGATTTCATTCCACTCCTGCTGTGTGATGATATTCTTGATTGGGAATGATCTTTTAACGTATCTAATTTTTCGGAGGTACAACAAGAAGTCTTTCTCGTAGAGAAAGAGTACGTCTACTGCTGAGTTCCAACGGTTCCAACATCCACTTCGGTACGATAAGATTATCATGACAGTTAAGATCAATGATTAGTGGGAGACGAGGATGAAAAATCTTACATTAAAAATACAAACTAAGACAATCTAGAGAACAAACAACGCATTAACTTAAAATGACGAAGTTTTGAATTGATTTGCTTATTTTTTACATGACGAGACAAATAAACAGTATTTGTTTCGTGATTCTCGAAACAAAGGATGAAAATGTTAATTTCGGATTTTCGTAGCTACGACCCAACGCCACACAATGTTCCAAGTAAAACTTGCTTAATGATGCATTTTCCCATAGAATTATCGTTCCGTACCCTTTTATAAGCATGCAGTAAGGTGCTAGTTGAAATGCTTTTGATGACGGAAATTTTTTTGACTAAAAGCTTTTCTAACTGCAGCAAATAAAAATATTTGAAAATATTTCAAGTAATTTCAATGTTTAATAGGACAGGCTAAAGATAATTCGTGTGGTATATTACTGAGTCCTGAACATACTGGTCCAGGGTCTTGCATACCATGTTGCAAACAGTCGGAAATTTATCTAACAACATATTAGAATAGAATAAAATAGAAGTGTCGGCACTGAAGAAATAGGCCCATGGCCAGTTGCCGATTCTTGTACTTTTCGTAACTTGATTCCACAAGGGATCCGGCCTTTTGAACCCGATCTTTCAATAACTGACGAATTAATTGAGATAGCTGCTGGGCTTATTGCCTGGTCCGTAATTTGCTAGGCATTTCAAGACTGAACATATGCTCCTGCATAGCTTCGTCTAGTCTGTTCTTGAAGGCATTCAAACGCGGAGTGTCAACGATGCTTTCAGGGAGGCTGTTCCACATGTCGGTGAATCGAAGCGAGAAATAAATGATGTCGCATGGATGTGTTACAGCGCAGTTTTTTCAGTTTAAAGCCGTGGCCCCTGGTGTTCGTTCTTGTTTCAAATTCCAGTAATCCTTCTGGAACCTCGTATAAACCGTGTGTATACTTGTTTACTTCAATGAGATCACCACGCAGACGTCGATAACGGAGGCATGGAAGCTTCATAATTTTTAATCTTTCTTCATAAGGCTTGCCTTTTTATCCCGGAATTATTCTTGTTGCACGTCTTTGAACACTCTCGACTAAATTTTTGTCCTTTTCTAGTTTTTGTGACCACACTGCGTTTCCAAATACAAGGTTCGGACGCACGACAGCGACAAACAACAGCTTCATCGCACCTGCATCTATGTATTCATAAGAGCGTCTGATCTGTCCAAGTCGTTGATTGGCTTTATTAACTTGAGCTTCAACATGCTTAGAAAATTTCAACTCATTGTCGAAATTAACTCCTAGATCTCTTTTCATTGTCGACTTCGCCATCATCACTGTCGTTGCAACTATGTCTTTTCATCCCGTAACCTTGCTGTTCATTATTCTTGCCAAGGTGAACTTTACATTTGTTAGCATTAAAACGCAGCTGCCACTTATCAGCCCAGTCAACCAAACTGTCAAGATCACCTTTCAACTGTACTTTTTGCGACGTATTCCTCACTGTACTATAGACTTCCCGGAAGTTTCAGTGCCGTTTTTCTGGGAGTTAAACATGATTTAAAATATTCAGTTTCTTAGAACGATAAGAACCATAGTTCTAATGTTTTAGAACTATAATAACAAATCAAGTTTTAATCTATATTAGTTCATTTTTTTAATCCGGGTCCGCATAACCGGTGAGGGGAGTCAGGGGACTTGTGCTCAGGTCCGCTGTGAAAGTGGCGGTCAGTAGCAAGACGGTTTATGTAGGAGCTGCGGTCGACGACGGTCGTTAAGTGACTCTGCGAGAACAAAGGAAAGGCAACTGACTTACTCTTCTCCACTGCAAAATTGTAATTATTTCTCAGCATTATTTATACTTATAAATACTATTATTATTATTTTTCGTAATCCGTTGAAGGGCGGTTGCCCCGTGTCACGGTGTCAGCCTTGCAGGGCTGCCTGAGCTGGACAGTGGACACGATGGGCAAAAACAAACGGAGAAAACAAAGTGGAGCTTCAAGTCATTCAGACTCAGATGGAAACACTTGCTCCAGCCATGAAAACTCGTTACTCTCCTCTTTCGATCCCAATGCAATTCCATCTCTTTCGCGACCACCTCCCTTAGCCATAGGCTTAAATCAGAACTCAGCACTTCAATGTAACCTGGATCTGCCTTCCCACACTAGCCATGGTGTGGTTGGTGCCCAGCCAATTTGTGTCTTCATTAAATGTTCTTCCCATGATGCCCAACATTACAACTAATTCTGGTATTCACAAGAATCACAACTTTGAGGGATTCTTAAGCTCTATCCCCCTTGATGATGTTTCCGACTCTGACACTGTAATTACAGCAGGACAAAGGAACCATGTAGAAAACCTGATGAGTCAGCAAAGCTGTGTCATTTTGATTGAGCCAGTTTCACTCCTGGATGATGGAGACTGTCAATCCACACCTGGTCAAGTTGATTTAAGTAGGTTCCTCTCTAATGACCTTGCTCTCAGCAAGGCACTGGCCACATAGTGGCAAACCAGAGCTTTTTAGAATCGGTTCATTTTAGTTTCCTCATTTACTCGAGATTTAAACCAATTTCTTAAGTACGATAATGCTGGTATCCAGGATACTTTACTGGTCTACTTGTAGGACTCAAAATGAACTTGAGGGAGAGTCTAAAAAACTCTCTGCTTTGCCACTATGACTGGCCACTTCTGCTTTTGGAAAAGTTGGCATCTCTAGCATGTCAAAAAATATTGCCCATAATTTACTGGTTCTAAATATGAAAACATCACAAGGAGTCTCGCATCTGCTGGAGGTGGAGAAGCTGGGAATGTGGAAAATTAAATGCAGACTTCCTGCTAGTCAAACTACAACAGCAGGAGTTATTGGCCCATTTGGCAGTGAAGTGTCCAATGAAGAACTCACTGAAGCTCTGACCTCTGCAGGACACCTGGGCGTTACTGCAGAGAGAATCTTGAAGGGAAAAGACCTTGTCAAGTTGTCAGGACCTCAATGTTCAAAGTAGTCTTCCCCTGTACTGGCCTGTAGTGCCCTGCCTTCACATGTGACCATTGGTTACCAGCGTTTCCAGGTTAACATATTTGTAGACAAACCCTGGCAGTGTTTCAGATGTCAGCGCTTTGGACACAGTGCTCTAACCTGCAAGAGTCAACCCCGCTGTGTTGTGTGTGGTGGGAGTCATGGTGTGAAAATGTGTACTCATACAGGCACCCCAAAGCATAGTGACAAACCAGAGATTTTTTAGAATCGGTTCATTTTTAATTTCCTCATTTACTCGAGATTTAAACCAATTTCTTATGCAAGATAATACTGGTATCCATGCATGGTGCCAATCCATAGGTTATTCAAAAGAACCTGTTCTTATGTCATTTTGAACCGATCAACACTTCTTTATGGACCGATCGTAAAACACACCTTCACCGGCAAAAGCTTTCACACTTCTGAAGAAGGTGAGCTGACAGCTACACTCGCCGTGGGGTGTGGGTGGACCTAATTTGAATTTGAATGCATGCAGCGATTNAACTTGTCGTATTCTGCACAAGCTCAAAAAGCTAAACGTTCTGTCAGCACTCAAACTACTGAACCTGTTCAGCAATCTCTTGAAGCTAAAATCTCTCTCACCCAACTGATTGACCTTTTATCACGCGTTCTGTCACTATGCAATAACACAGATTCCCTTGCCACAAAAGGAACCATTACCAAAATAGCTGCTGAAACTTTCAAACTCAATCCATCAGCCGAGTTACAGGATACTAGTGCTTTTTGCTCAGTGCTGCCAGAAACATCAAATCCCCAGAACACTGAAGCTCAGGCTGTAAGGCCCAGTGATGATCCTGCACCTATGCTCTCCCTGGAGGCAGCAATGGATGACTCAGATGTATTTGTTGAGGATGGGCAGATTACTCCCTCACCAATCCTAGGTGGAGCTATCTCCAAGACAAAAAAAAACTTATTCTCTTTGCCCTTCACCAGTAATAGGGGGCAAGCCACAACCTAAGATAATGGGTAAACAACAGAGGACTTTCTCAAAGCTGCAGTTACCTCACTTGAGCATAGTCC